GGGTAAGTCATTTTTTTCTTTCTAAAAATTCTGAAGATGACTAGCCGCTGAGAATACCTCCCGGAGCAGCGACGCGTGGACAGTTCTAGCTCGCGTGACAGGTACCAAGTCCAAAAAAGGCCGAGCTCCAGTTCACCGGCCGCTCCGTAATTCTCTCCGCCGCATAGCTGATTTATGTGATCTTGGTGGGATTAAGCATGCAAAAGGACTGTTGATTAATGTTATATTTCTGCCAGAGAGCAGGAAGCGAGCGAGAAATGGAGGGGGAGCGGAGACGAGGGAGGAAAGAGGGGGAGGACGAGGAGGGGGTGAGAGAGAGTGAGAGGGATGAGGAGAGATAGAGACGGGCGAAGAGGAAAGAGGGGAACAAAAGAGAATTGAGGAGAGAGAGAGAAGGAGAGAGAGATGAGAGAGAGAGACGAGAGGAAGAAGAGAGAGAGGTGAGGAGGCGGGAGGGGAGAGGATGAGGGGAAGGGACGAGAGAGGAGAGAAGAGAGAGAGAGAGGGGAGAGGAGAGGGAGAGGAAGAGAGGGAGAGAGAGCAGAGAGAGGAGAGGAGAGAGAGAGAGAGAGAGAGAGAGAGAGAGAGAGAGAGAGAGAGAGAGAGAGAGAGAGAGAGAGAAGAGAGAGAGAGAGGAGAGAGAGAAGAGAGAGAAGAAGGGAGAGGAGAAGAGAGAGAGAGAAGAGAGAGAAATGAAATGAAGAAAAGAGAGGGGGAAAAGAGAGAGAGAGAGAGGGCGAAAGAAACGAAGATAGAAAAAAAAATAAATGAAAAGAGAGATATAAGAAATGAAAAAAATGTAGCATCGATCTCGAAGTCTATACACCTTTCAAAAGTCGAATTGCAAGTAGATTTAAAAGTTAATGGTTAAAACAAATCAATGTTTTAGACACCAAAGGTCATGTAGAACTATGGTAAAGAATTGTAGCGAAAATGGTAAGAATGAATCAACAGTTAGGATAAAATACAAGTTAAAAGTCAAAGGACAATATGGTAGTGAAAAGGGTACAGACGAGTTAATGAACCGGTTTCTGAATTCCCTGGGGCGATGAGATGCAGTCACGTGACCCGCCGCAGAATCCTTCAAATGAATGAGTCTAGGATAATATGTGAGGGATAATTAGTATCGTTTCTTGTTCCTCCTTTTTATCCTTTTATGTTCTCTTTTTCTTTTTAATCTTATCTCAGTCTCATTCTCTCTCGTTTTTTTTCTTTTCTCTCTCTCTCTCTCTCTCTCTCTCTCTCTCTCTCTCTCTCTCTCTCTCTCTCTCTCTCTCTCTCTCTCTCTCTCTCTCTCCTCTCTCTCTCTCTCTCTCTCTCTCTCTCTCTCTCTCTCTCTCTCTCTCTCTCTCTCTCTCTCTCCCTCCCTCCTCTTAGTCTGTGTGCATGTATGTACGCGCACACACACACGCACACATATATATGTGTGTGTTTGTTATATAAACTATCTCTCTCTCTCTTTCACATCTTATATATTACTAGAGAGAGAGAGAGAGAGAGAAGAGAGAGAGAGAGAGAGAGAGAGAGAGAGAGAGAGAGAGAGAGAGAGAGAGAGAGAGAGAGAGCGTGTGTGTGAGTGAGTGTGAGAGAGCGAGCGAGCGAGAGCGAGAGCGCGTGTGTTGAAAAAGAAATGGATTAATTTTGCACCAGAACTTCTGCAAACGACTTTAATTCATCATGAAAATCCCTTTGATTACCAACCATTAACTAGTGGGTTTTGAAACATTTTTTTTCTTAAGCAACGGCGTAATCAAACCTTGTTTTTCATCAGGGGGAAAATTTGTTGCTAATCAGGATAAGTAAACGCGTATCTTACTTTTTTCCATCGTCCTACCTTTTTTCTTCTCATCTACGTCGTCTTCATTCAAGATATGTAAATATATATTTTCCTTTATCTTTTCTTTTCCCCCTCTTTGTTTCCACTGAATCTTTCCTATTTTATCTGTCTTTCTCTTTACTCGTTCTTATTTTTTTTATCTTTGTTGTTGTTGCTGTTGTTGTTAATGGTTCCACTGAATCTTCCTGTGACCTTCTACATCTAGAGTTGGTTTACATGCAAGTATTTATTATTAGGAGTGATCAATTGCTCCAAAAAATAACAGCTGACCTCGTGAACTTCATCTCTCATTGCTAATTCTTAAAAGGTCATGTTAGATTCATACGTCCTTGGTCATATTTTTGGGCTTTCTTCCTCTGTTTATTCATCTTTTTCTTCTTTTTTATGGGGTTCGTGTGTTCAGTGTTTTTTTTTCTTTCTATTTCCTATTTTCCTGTCTTCTGCTGTTCTCTCATCTTCTCTCTTCTCTCCTCTCTCTCTCTCTCTCTCTCTCTCTCTCTCTCTCTCTCTCTCTCTCTCTCTTCTCTCTCTCTCTCTCTCCTCTCTCCTCTCTCTGCTCTCTCTCCCTCCCTCTCTCTCTCCCTCTCTCCTCCCTCTCACCTCCCCCCACACCTCTCTCCTCTCTCTCCTCGTCTACTCTCTCTCCATCTTTCTCTCTCTCTCTCTCGTCTCTTCATCTCTCTCTCTCTTCTTCTCTCTTCTCTCTCTCTCTCTCTCTCTTTTTGTTTTTTTGTTTTTGTTTCTGTTTCTCTGTTTTTGATGCATATAATACACTAAGTGTGCCTGTGTAAATCAGCTCTATTGGCCATTCCCGATGTGAAAGTAAATATGCAGAGGATGTGGAATGTGTTAAGAAGAAGCCACGCAAAAGAAAACAGACAGACAGAGACAGAGACAGACAGACAGAGACAGGGGGGGGGGCAGAAAAATATACAAAAGGAAAGCCAGATAGATGGATAGATGACAGACGAAGTCGTAGTGCAGAGAAACAGAGTGACTGAGAGACAGACAGACAGACGAAGGCAGACAAACATATAGACAGAGAGAAATGAGAGAGAGAGAGAGAGAGTGCAACACATGCCTGCTTCGGCGTGTCCAATTTGGAAGGAAAATGACATCCAACCATACTTCCAAATTTAAAAAAAGCAACTTATTACTGCCATTGTGTTCCAGGTCGTGGAGGTGCAACGAAGGGTGCGCGGATGGTTAGCCAGGAAAAGGGTTAGGAGACTAAAGCAGGTAAGGGATTTTTTCTTCTTTTTTTGTATTATGCTTAAAAAAAAGTTTAAGTGTTTTTCACGTGTAGTGTCCTTAACGAAGCTGAAGATGATTTATCGATCGTGTCCAACGAAAGTATTTTCCTGTTAGATATGATCTGGCATGACTGATCCCAGTGTTGGATATGAAATAATTTGCTTCGTAGTGCGTGACGGAACATGCAACAAGGGTTATTTTAATGAAAGTGAAAGCAATGGTAAATTGATTAAAAAAAAATCTATACATCAAAGGTAATATAGCACTATGGTAAATTAATGAGAAAGGTGCTTAAAAGTTTTTTATGAGAACAAAATGTGTTAGATTTCATAGGTCATACAGCACTATAAGATAGTTTATTAGTGAAAAGAGCAAAATGAGGGGCAGTTAAATGGGTAGGATAAGGATTGATAGATGACGAAAGAGCAACAAGGAATATATGTCCAGACTTCTGGTTGATTATATATCCTACCGAAAAGGGAAGAGGATAACCACCGATTACCAATAATCGAGTCATATTGCTCTCACTTGCATGTTGGTCCGTTTTCTATGCCTAGGATGGTAAAAGATGTGATAGGGGACACTTTTAAAATATTGTGATTTCTGTATTATAGTGGTGATTTGACCTATTGAAATGTTGCTAAACTATGGCGTCAAGTGATTTATTGTGGATGTTAGGTATTGTTAATTGTGAATACCGATTTTTATAACTGAGCCACGAGAAAGCGTGTACTCTAAATTATATTAAGGAATTACCCCAAATTTGAAAAACGGAAATGTTTAACATGGCAATGACATTGAAAATATAATCAATAACAGATACGTAGCAGTATCAAATATATATATATATTTTAACCAAGGAACGCCGGCAGCTTGAGAAGTCCACAAGTGAATCCACTTCGGTGTCTCCGCATCAGGTGGACTCGGCCAACAGCGTTAGTGATAACTCCGTTTCTACTTCTTCCAGCCACAAGGTAAGGCTGTACATAACACTAATGCCCCAGTTTTCTAAATATATCCATTTACCTATGTTAAAGAAATATATATGGTTATCCTCATCTTTTTGACGACGATTCATGAACGCCGACTTGCCCGCAGCGGTGGCGCGGCGCGGTGCCCATGGCGGAGCTCTACTCCCGCCTGGAGGGCTGGCGGCGGCGGCAGGTGGCTCAGATAACGGCCACGCTCACGGGGCAGGACAGGAGGCGGGCGCTGGTGGCTCTCCTCGACAAAGAGACGGAGTTGCTGAGGTCCTTGGAGGCTCATCGCGCCGTCCGCTCGGCCAGGAGAAGGAACGCGGCCATCGCACTCTTCCTTCAGGAGGTAGGTCTTGGTGGACGAGGAAGGAGGGGACTGGACTCTGGGTTTCAAGCTTTTTCTAGGAGGTGGACTTGGGTGGATGAGAGCGGGGGCGGCCTGGATTCTTGGGGGCCGGGGTCTCCGCGGGTCTCGAAAGAACGTGGTATGCGTTTTTTATCCTTCAGAAGGTAGGATACTGAAGAATGACGAAGCACACTCCAGGGTTGATGAAAATGTCAGGAAACACATTCTGTGAACAGTGGATTTCTTTTCCTATCAGGCAGGCTATTGGTAGACAGGGATGGAGGCGAGACTGTTCATTGTGTCGCTTGGGAAATCTGTTCTAGAATTTGCGGTTTTTGTAATATTATTATTTATGATCCTTATCATTACTGTTATTCCCATCATCAACATCACTTTCACCATCACCTACCATTATTAGGTTCATCATAATTCCCAAACATCCATAACATCCTCATCCTCACGAACCGTCACTATTATCACCACCATTATCGTCAGTCTCCTCACCACCTGGATCGTCCCATGACCCGTCCTCCCCCCCCTCCTCAGGTGTCCCGAGCGCAGGTGTGGAAGGTGGGAAGCCATGCGGCCGGAGTGGAGGTTGAGACTCCGGAGACAGAGCCTGTGAGGACTCTGGCCTCCCTCGCCTCCGCCCTCCAGAAGGATGCGTCGACGGAGGTCAGAGGTCAACAGTTCAACTCCGTCTTCAGCACCGTAAGTAGTATTAGTCACTCAAGCAACCGTTTCAGACGCGGTACCGAGTATGAATTTTTCATGTGATTTTGAGTATTTTTTTTTTTTTGGCGAGGTTAAAAATGTTTTTAAGAGAAATATATTTTTACCTGCAAATATTTTTATCGAGTAATTTCTTATTCAGAATAAATATCTTTTCCAGAGAAAATATTATTTAAGAGTAAATATATGTCTTTAAAAACAGATATTTCTTTTCAGTAGTGAATATCAATCTCAAGTAAATACCTCTTAAGTAAATACCTATTAATACCGTTTTCAAGAGCATCTTTTTTGTATAAATTCCCCTTTCGGAGTAAAAATCTTCATTCAAATAGTAAATACCCCGTGCAGGTGGAGCGCTTCCGTCCCTCCCACGGCGACCCCGACGAGACTTCCCGGACGGCGCGAGAGCTGGGGGCGCTGGCGAGACGAGGCCTGCATCTCCTGGCCAGGGGAACCACCGACTCCAGGCTCAGGGGACTTCGCAAGAGGCTTCACAGTCTCATTATCACTTATCTTCAACAGGTTGTGTATTGTTCTCTGGAGATTCTCCATTTGTTTTCGTTTTTGAGGAGTTCGTATTTTTCTGTTCGTATTTTTTACATTGTCTATTTCGTTTGGGAGTAGGTTTGTAATGTATAAGTAATAGGCATATTTTCTATGTATTATCTTTCATTTCAGTGTCTTTTTAGTTTGTTTTGTACATTCTATCTACTTGATTAACCTCATCATAATCCTTACGTATTTCATATTTTGCTTACTCAGAACCTTTCATCTTTATTGTTATCCAATGTTTGCCCAAGATCTTGTTTATATATTTTAATACAAACCTACTCAGTAACTGGGAAGGTTAATGAAATACATAACATTCTTGCGTCTTTTGCATTGCAGGTTCAGACGAGATCATCAGTGCCAATGCAACCCCGACTAGTAAGAGCTGCAGGTGGAAAACCACTTCTTGTTCCCACGACGAGCACATAACAAGTGAAAGCCATAACAGTAAAATTGACATGACAGTGAAAACCACACGACAGTAAAATCCACACAACGATGTAATCAACATGGTGAAAACCGTGAAATCCCTATGGCAGTGGAATCACCTCAGTTTGATTCATGGATAACGGCTGGGATAAAACACAGCATATATATTTGCTGGAGAAAAGTTGCCCTGGTTGGTTATATTTTCCTTGCAGGACAATATCCCACAAGGCCTTACCTGTGGGAATATCTTTTTATCTACAGAAAATATTTGCAATCTGTTAAAAACCTCCTTTAATTTCTGTTCATATCTTTTTAACAGATGTAATAATGTTTAAAAAAAGGAGATACTTAAGTTTCTAATTGCTTATGAAGAATGCATTTAGACAATGGTTTTAAATAATTCACTTCATTATATTCTCATCTCTAATCACGTTATAAGATATAGGATCATATTCTGAAACTTACCATATTCATAAGCATTCCATGATATAATGTTCTTAGATTTCCATTGTATTTTATCATCTGATATTCACCCATCTGTAGTGCCAATGTATGTCATGGGTTTTACTACTGATATGCAATTCATATGAAATGGGAATTGCTTACGTTTTGACTTGTACTCTTTACAGCAAAAGCACAACAAAATCACAACTTTATATCCTCCAAGCGTCTTTCTAATAAAGAGGAGAAAACAATCATTACCGTTTTTACTACGGTATGGTAATGGGTTCAACAATTAACAATAAAAAGGAGACAGGCTAATCACAATAGCAAGACAATATCAAATCTAAGTCTCCCAGTAACATTTACATATTCCTCAGGTGGTTTGGTGCAAGTTTACCCCACAGAATACCTATCCATAATGCTAAGTGAAAGAGATGGGTAGGCATCAGCACAAACTGTACTTAGGAGTTATGCTTGCGATATAATCACTAAAATTTCTCCTTAAGAGTACAAAAGAAAAGCAGGAAATGTTTGCCAATACTTCATTGCATGTCTACAGCAGTACTATTTTTATAATTATGAAGATGATAAGCTCCATAGTATTATAAGGACTATTTTTATTAGCTAATATTAATAATACAGACTTTTCTTCTTTGTGAGCATTATTATGCTTCTTAGAACTACACCATATGCATATAAAATATGTAAAACCTGTTCTTGTTATTTCATTATCAACTTTCTACAATTGCCATTATCAGAATTTAAGATGCACGAGATTTTTTCCTACTGATCACGTTATATAGACCACATACCGAAAATGACTGGAAAAGTATATTAATGGGAAGTTAATGGTCAATGGTTAAAAAGCAAAATAAATGTGGTAGACATCTAAGGTCATATAGCACTATAGGAGAGTATATTAAAGGAGGGGTGAAGGGTGATAGTTGCTATGCGTCAACTGTCTAGAGTGATCCTGAAAGGTTAAAGATGGGTAAAAAAGTTACTGTGTGAATGGGCTATGGTGAGTTTAGGTAAGCGAATTACATGTGTTTCACGTGTGTATCCAGGAGGGAGTGGAAATGATAAAAGGGATGGAGGGAGGGAGAATGTACGTGTAATTGGAGTTGAGGTGTTAGGTTGTGTTGGGAGGGAGTAGGAGGAAGTGGTGTAGGGGGAATATGAGGAGGAGGAGGAGGGAGTAGGAGGAAGTGGTGTAAGGGGAATATGAGGAGGAGGAGGATGGGTGTTGGGAGGATGTATAGCGGCAGTGGGCGGAATTGAGGGGGTTAGGTTGTGTTGAGAGGGAGTAGGTGGGAGGGGTGTAGGGGGAATATGAGCAGGAGGGGGATGAATATCGGCAGTCACTTCGAGTGTGGAGGGAGCATTAGTTGTGGAATTTTGTCTCATAAGCATATAGATTTGAATATCTTCCCTAGTTTATGCAGCGGAGTTGGTTGGAGAGTTTTGTGTGACAAAGGTTTTTTATGGGGGGGGGGAGAGGAGACTGGTGTCTGAGGAATAAATGGAAAGGTAGGTGGAGGGGAGTGTGGGGTAGGCGAAGTGGGGGAATGTTTAGCCTGTCTGCTGCGGGTAGTACGGGGAGGGATAGGGGCTGTAGTTGAGATTGGAGTGTCTGGATTTAGAGTGGCGTACGAATTTGACTGGGGGAGGTAGAATGTAGAAGTGGAAGTGGGGAAGTAAGTAGGTATAGGGGAGGGTGTAGGAACATCTTGGGGAGGAGGGGGAGGGGCAGAGCGAGAGACATTACTAGAGTAATGAGAAACCTTGTCGGTGTGCTCAGACTCAAACTTGTAAGTGGGACGGCCTCTATAAAATACATTATGGGGGCCGCCGCAGTTAGCACATGTGCGTGTTTGTGCAGGGCAGTTGGGCACATAGGGGGTATCGGTCTGTGGCGCGGCAGTGTTTGGCAGGATGTCCAAATCGCCAATAGTTTTGACACTGATGGGGAAGAGGTTGGTATGGTCGAACAGGGAGGGATTGTCGTCTAATGTAGATACGAACGGGAAGGTCATGTGTACTGAAAGTAATTTTGGCAATGTTGGTGTGTTTCTTTCGCTGACCTCTAGGAGGAATAGAGTAGCAATGCAATGATTTCACGTCTTGGTCTTTGAGGCAGCCGAGTAAGTCTTCTCCACAATGACCTATCTTTGGTATCGACTAGGCAGTCTGCTGGGGAGATAGAGACTTCCGGTACAAGTATTAAGAGTTGGATTAGGTTCTGCAGGTATGGGGTTGCTAAAGAGATTAGTTAGCTTTGATTTGACTATAGCTTCAGTTTCAGATGTAACTATAACGAGACGGAAACGATCGGGTCAGGTACGGAGGGGAACTCTACCCACTTGCTCTTGGAGACATTGTTGAAAGAGAAGGGTGTTGTCTGAGTAAGGAGCTGTAGGGGGGATCACGAAAATTTGGTCCCATTTGGCTGGGCTAGAGTATTTAAGATTTTGGTAGAGTTGTGGGTGGTAGACGTACGGGGACGTGTGGAAGAGGGAGTATTGTTGAGGGGGATAGTATTACGGAGAGATGGAGAATAAGGTTGTAAGGTAGTAATAAGGGAAGATGAGATGATTGGTGAAGAAGGCTGTGGGGGTAGAGTTGATGAAGTTGAAGTTGGGGGAGTAGGAGTCTCGCCTTGGGTGGATAATGCACTAGGAGGCATTGGGGAGTACGTAGTTGTTGTTGTGTTCAGAGTCGTCAAAGGAGAGCCGGGAGAGTTTGAATCGGTAGGGCTATATGATGAAGGGACAGGCCTCATTGCCTCTAATATGCGCATTACTTCTTCATTACTAGCCATGGGAAGCATTGGCTATGTTGGGGAAATAAACAGTCCACCCCTCAGGGTCCCCTTTAGGAGCACTGGCTAAACAACAAAACGGGAATACCGTGCCCATGGTTCCCTCAGGCCATTCAGGACTGGCTCAAAGTCAGCCTCTCATCCTTTCAGCACGGCTCTTACACCTTAGGAAGTAGATAGTAGAAGGGGTTGGAGAAGGGACTGACACAAAAGAGCTGGAGGGAGAAAAGACCATGCAAAATTAGTCGAATCGAGGGCTGAGACCCTAGGCAGGGGAGATCCCTGCACTGGGTCTCCGTCTCCGTCTCCTAAGCCCCTCCCTCCCCCTATGACAACAATGGGCAAGGGATTGCAGGGGAATGTGAAGTTAGACACAGCAGGAGTGACCTATTAGTCAACCTGTATATGTGGTACACACACTGTATGCACAGAAGCAACATGTAAAGGAATTAAATACTAATAAGTCTTTGTGAAAGTAGTAATTTTTTATTCATATTTTCAGACTTAAATTAACAATTGGGTAAAGCTCTGCACTTTGGTTACAAATACCTCACAAAAATCCAAAAGCTTAGCTCTGCAAATTTTGTAAAAAGCAACAACAAAAAATACAAACCACTAGCACAATTGCAAAATGACAACCAAAACAGATTTAGGTTGAAATTAAAGTGTACTTCTTTTCATAAGGACTCCAAAAATATATCTTTTCCACAACTTACCATTAATCATTCAGTACATTTACTGAATTTTGTGTTTCATGTCCATTATTTTAGTAATAAAATTATCTGATTTCTTATAATTACACACAATATTTCAGCCAATAATTACAAAATAAATAAATACAAAAACTTAACACTATGAAAATACTAATCATGTCTTTCTAATCAAGTCAAATTGTCTTTTAAATTTTCTTGATAAACAACCATCAAGTACAAATCAGTTTCCACTTTAGAGATCAAAGTTACAACATAAATTTCACATGTTAATAATACAACTGAATATTTACTTTCTTAACTTTGCATGGAGGAGTAAACATCTATAAACACATGCAACATTAGTATATATTCCCCTGCCTTATTAATAACAGATCTTTACTTCTCACATCTTCAATAATTACATAATTGATTTAAGTTTTTCATTAATAACATTGGGGTCGAGAATGCACAACTCACTTTTCACCAAGATATATGGGGGGGGGGGGGGTCTGAGTCCAAACACATGTGATAATTTTCATTTAGACTTGAAATATAAACCATACATCATCTTTGTAATACATTTTCAGACTTTTGTTATTTTTCTTTCGAAACCTCTCTAAAAATTAGTGTAATATATTCTCTGTTCAGATCTAATTTCCCTTTACACACTAAACAAAAATATAACACTAACTATAACAAAGTGATTACTTTATTTCAGTGTTGCAAAGAACCAAATTTTATATCTAAACACAAAATACGTATTGCTCTGAAGTTAACAACATCCATTTATTTCATCACATAATAGTACCTTTTTTGTTACTATGACTTTCTTTTATCAACAACTTTTCAAGCAATATCCATCCGATCTTGCATTTCTCATTTAACCAGTCTGAATAACAAAAGACAATGAATTCACGGAAATAAAAAGGTTTCAAACTCAGCTATTTAAAAAAAAAAAATGTGTTGAATGTTTCCAAACTCAAGAGATTCCTTCCTTTGTCCATTAGGATATTTCTAGCCTAAAATAATAAGCATGCCTGTATCAACATACCCACAGATAAGTAGATTCACATTTCATTTCTAAGGAAATAATTTATACATGAAAGATAATTTATATAAAATGAAGCATTAAATACCACAAGAAAAGACCATATTCTATTTTAAGAATATGAACAAAACTGAATAAAGGAGACTAATAGATCTACTTTCAGCTTAATATTTGACATTTGTGATGTGTGACCTGATGTCAGCAGAACAAAATGGCATGCAGTTACACTAACCATAGTTGGATTATGTGATTATACTTAACTATCGTTAAAGCCAAATATAGATTAATGTTTTACTTACACATAGGAACCGGAACACGACTCTCCCTATTTCACCTTTCTTCCACACCATAGCAATATTAAAGGTTCAAGTGACTGAGAAAAAATTTACCCAGAGGATACACAAATTTAAATGGTTGATATAAAGCAATTTCACTGGTAGACTTTGTGTATCAAAACTGAATCCTTAACTAGTGGTCACATTTATCCTTCACAAACTTTAAAAACTAACAAAATAACAAATTCTCTATATCCTATATATTTTTTTTAAGTTAAAAATTCAACTCTTATTTCAACACAAGAAATTACTACTAATACATCCATACAAGACAATCATTATCACCAAATATTAAGTAAACTTGACAGTAAAGGATATATGACCACATTTTTAGGCACACAGATCATAGTTACCTTTGTGTTAATACCATGGAAAAAAAGAAATGACTAGTGGACTAGCACTAAAACTACAGTTCTAATAATCGTTGTACCTTTGATAGCACGTATCAGAAAAAAAACATATACAATTTATCCCAATGATTAACTGCAAACCAACATGATTCCAATAAAAAGAAAAGGGATGCGAGAAAGAAAATGGTCACTCTATCTTTGACTCGCACTCCAAAAATATGTGTTCAGTTTCAACATTCATCAATGACATGGAATCTCACTTAAAAAAAAAAAAAAAAATTATATCTCCAATATCCACCTATTTTAAGAATTTGAAAGGGAAACACAGCAACACAGGGTCATTCCGTATGCAATGGGAGGTAAACACTGAACACAAATCAACATACAAACATTCAAATTTAATAGTACAAACTTTGAGCACTTTTGAGGTACCTTCAAGGCTTGAAAGCTGCGAGCATGTGTATTTTCTGTTTCATCTTTTCTCTCTCTATGTCAGTCAACAATAAAGGATCATAATACTTTTTACCAGACAAATCAAGCTGAGCTTTTTGGTCTGACTTCAGTCTGCACAACATGAATTCAATGATCTTTATATATAATAAATCTGTTCATTTGATAATTCTTACTACATCTTTTGAGTATTAGATTTTATCACAATCAGATAAAACATAATATGAATAAAAGTAAAAAATATATCACCAACCAAATGTATTGCTGCGAATTTTAAAGTGTGCTAAAATACAACCAAGAAAAAAAACTCATGATATTAAAGTCACAAAATTTTCCTAATTTTGTTGAATTTAAATAACATAAAAGAAGAGATGATAATGAAAACTGTTAATCAGATTATACTTACAATGATAGCATAGGTAATAATGATAACAATGTTACATGAAAAAAATGATAAGCATGATAAAATTTATCATCAACACACCAAAAAAGATAAAACATCAAACATAATACTGTCATGATAGTAAAAAATAATAACAACTAAGCACATAACTATATAAATGTAATGACAATGGTTATGACATTTAAAGTTTTGTCACCAACACAGCTGCAATCAAATAACAAGAGTTAACAGCTGCAGAAGCAAAAACAGCAGTAATTATTGCAATCACTTCACTTTCTAAAGAGTAAAATGTTTGTGCTACTTGAGCTATACTGCAATAAGACACACTTCCCTTTTAGGGGTGTACATCACAACAAGGTAAATGACACAACCTGCAGCATAATGAAAATAGTCAATCCCTTCCATATGACAAACTACCTTTCAAAACCCAACACAAACATGTTTTTTTTTTGTGCTGAAAGTGAAACTGGAGAGAAATCTGCTACTATACTGATTCTGGCACTTGAGTCGAAGGCAACACACACCAAATGAATCATCTTGCTACCTTTATCCACCTGAACAAAATATTTCGTACTCTCATTACTAGACACCGAATAAATGGCCCAGCTGTTTTATACAGGACATATCTTAGAAGGTAATGAGCTTTGTACAAAACTGTAGAAAAATATTGCTTCTTTCAAAGACCCAACAATCAAAAAGGATGATGAAACAGTCAAAGCACAGGACTGGAGTATCCACACTCCAACCTACAGCCCAAAAAATGAGCCATTAATGTTTTTTCTACAATGTATCAAGCACAAAAAGACAGATGGGTCAGTTAGTAGATACATCTTATAGTTGAAAATCTAAGATCACTGTCCATTTATTCATATTTTCAATACTCAATAAGAGAATGTATATTTTCCTTATTATTTTCTTCGAATAAAACTTTCTCTTCTGAAGTAGATTTTCATGACTGCTCTTGAAATTCTACATACTTTCGCTTTCTATTACAACCTACTGTTTCCTAACTACAACCTTCAGGGAAATTTAGTGAATTTTTAACACTGATGATTATAATGAATTCCCATATAAGAGTGTATTACACTTATTCATAAATAATTATTTGTATACTGTGTTTAATATCATAGCACACTGAAAAAACTTGTATGTTCTAAAGAATATTGTGGTATAGACTATCTAAAATTCACTATATAATCCATTACATAAATTTTGAGGTAACAGTAAGGTGTACTAAGGCAAGCTGAAGATCAATTACCTGAAATCTATATGTATATATATATATATACTTTATCAAGCCCTTTCATAACCTGAAGTTTCAAGACCTAACCAGCTAAAGAGTCTATATTCTGAAACAGATTCCTCACTTAACCACAGTGTAAACTTGATGATCTTCAAGCCAGCCAGTGAGGCAGTAAGTTATCTCTACAAGTTGTACTCTTTTGTGTCACATGGTTAAGCAGACTGCAATGCTTTCTGTAAACAAGTCCCTCAGCATATTATTTTTTTATTGTTTACTTTTTTTCTTGAGGCAGAAGCCAGAACTGTTTTTTCATTACTACAATCAAAAGATGCTACCAGACTATACAAAGTCGAAGTCCTCAACATACATCTGCCTCATTTCAAAAGGGGGGATAATAACAACAGCAGACGGCTCAAAAATGTCCTTCCAGCAACAATCAAATGATATAAAAGGCCAGCAGACTGAACACTTACATACTAATGGCAGGTATCCATAAACATGTTAGTTGCAGAAAGAGCAGGATTACATATGGCTTTTTACGAAGTATGTATTGACCATATATATATATAGAATGCTTTCTTTTTTTATCACTTTATCATCCTACATACATGATCTATCATCATCAACAGTTGTAAACATTTGAACCATTTACAAAAATGACATGCCATTTGATGGGCAAAAAATGTACCAACTTCTATAGATGTACACACTAAGCCCACTATTTACAGAAGCCACACCTTTGATGTTAGGCTAATCTACAATTTGTTTGAGAAGAGAAGGCAGCAACAAAGTCGCAGCACCTGGATTTTTTTGTGCGTCACATTTCCAAATAAGAGCACCTATCTACCACTTCAACATTTAGATGATCTCTGTCTGGTCATCCAGCTTACAGCTTACTGCAAAACAGACATAAAAAGGAGATGTATATTCTGATTCTCTTCCTTCTGAGATGTTCCTTAAAAAGTATTCCAAACCACTGGCACAATAGCTGTAATTGTATTCAAAATCAAGATATTCCTTTGTATATTTCACATTTTTTGTCATGATTACTCAACTTTGCAGAAAACAAGAAAAAATAAGACCATAACTATGCACAATATAATAAACTTAGGATGTTGATACATAATACTTTTATGAACTTTAGTTGAACTAAAATCATAAGAATGCAATGAGCACTTTCAATACAAAACAAAGCACAGCTTAATATACACTCAGCCATAATATTATTTGAAGTGATGAAGCTACCAACATTCCATGCTTTCATTTTGTTTTAGAATACAAATATTTGCATATTTCCTAATATAACTAAATACACTGAACATTTAAATGCTTAGTTTAAACTTAAGCATGTATCAACAAGCACTAGTTAAGACTTGGATTTAGAAAAACAACCAACTTACTATGGAAGCCTCTGACTATACAAGAAGTCTCTCCTCATTCAACACACAACTTTCCACAACTACTTACATCCTGTTAACTACAGGAGGATTTAAGGCATGCACAAGTACATGTCACTAAACACTGCCACATTTCCTACTTGGACTTTCTTTTCTGTCCAATATCAAAAAGCACAATCAGTGCAAGGTGGCAAAAATAAAGTAACATTCAAGCCTTTTTTTCTTTTCTCTTCTTCCTTTGCATACCTCAATACAAAACATTCAGACATGGGGTGCACCTCAGGATTTGAGCAATGAGATACACTGAACCTGTGGGGTGGTACTTCCATCTACCTACAGCAGCTACAGTCCAAACATCACAGAGGATGTAGGACGTGGCCAAAGGGCATGAGCAGTGCACTACTGCTTCGTGCTAAATTGATGCACCTTATTTACCCTGGTGAGATGTGCATCTAATGTAGCATGGATGGTAGCCACTGTGGTCTCCTGCTCGCTTACATTGAAGGTCCCCTGGCGAACCAGGCTCTGAGAACGTTTAGAGGAACCCCTTGATGATTCTTCTCCATCTGGCGCTTCTCTTGTGCTTCTGCCCCTTCGTCTAGATGACACACTTGGGCTACTGTCACTTGATGGCTGGGGAAGAAAAGTTTATGAGATTTTCTCACAGTATTTGCTTTAAATCTGAAAAAGAAAAAGAAGAAAAAAAGTCTTTAAGCTTACATTTAAGGGAGTGTATCTCCTCTACAACCCCAGCCAGAGCCAAACAAATGCACACAAGTTTAGTACACACATGTTAAAATAGGCCTGACTGTATATCTTGTTGTGAGGGACAGTCTACCATGATGTGATAGGATATCACTTGGTCATGAATGGATTAATGACATGGAATATTCTACCAAACGATTATCCAAAAAGCAATCTATATCAGTCCAATCCAAGTCCCCTAAAATTTCCAAAGTATGAACACTTCTCTTAAAAGATTTTCATTGCTGCTCATTACCATACCTGTCCTTCTCCAACCAGAAGCGGTTCCTGACTCAGAAGCTCATTCACTTCGCGCTGTCGGCTCAGGTGAGATGACAGAAGGGACTGAAGCAGTTCTAGGTTCTCGATAATCTGGTTTAATATGTAAAATATTGAGTTAAAAGGCAAAAAGATAAGAATGTTGTGCAAGTGCTTACTTCATCCACAGCCATAGTCATGACCTGCCAGGATGAGTAATGTACAAGTGCAACCAAAATAAAGTGCAGAATTATAGTAACAAAGACACTATGTATCATATTTAGTGTCATATACATATACACATACATGCATGCACATATATAAACAATGTATAAAATAATAATAAAACTGTAAATCAACCCTATTCATTGTCTAAAAATATCCTTTCTATATCATAATACCATCAATAGAACATTCCCAGTGCAACCTAATAAGCTGTTTATCCATACTGTTCTTCACTATCAAACATATCATATTAACCCATGGGATCTGGATGCTTCACTGCCATCACATGGCCCAAAATACAGGCATTAAGCTGAATTGATCAACCACTCTGATAGGTACACGGCTTATAGACTGGGTGCACTCAAACAGGTGTGTAGTGACAAGACTCTATGCCTCCCCTTTGTAATGCTATTTTCTCTTTTTCTGCATCATCATTTTACGCTTTTTTGCAATTTCGCTTTATCCAGATGTTTTTCTAGCATAGACTCCATATCACCTCTTAGTGAAAGAATGATAACAATAAGTAACATTTTTCAATGTCTTTTTTTATATATTTTTTATGATATTTAATTTTCTGTAATACAACCTGTGTCACCAGTCATGGCATGCAGGAACAGGATCCTGAGCACTGATATAGTGTCCTCCCTAGAGGCAGTGCTCTTCCAGTCATAACTCACAGACAGTCCATTCCACACTTGGCTATCAATAGCACTAATGCAAAAGCCCTTTCATAAATGCCAAATGAGTCCAATCACCCTCTCGTGCACTCAAGGCAAGTCTTTCCTGTCATTCAGGCCTTAAGCAAAAATGCTCATGAACTTCTTCTACAACGGCATGTTCACATCACCTGCCCTTCAAGCCATTTTTTTTTATGACGTCATGGTCAAATCATCCAGTTCGTAAGTGTTAACATCAGACCACTTCACACTAACCACATCTGCAGACTCACAAATGGCAACAAAAATTCAAACAGCAATCTCCTGTTTTCTCAAAAGCCCCTTTGAATGAGAAGCAATACTCCTTCAAGCACTGCCAACAGAGATAACAAGCAAAATAAAGGGACAGAAATTGATTTGACAAACAGATGGAGACTAACAAGAGTGAACACCTTAGAGATGCAATAAAATATTCATACAGAAAAATAAGAGGTTGTTGACCAAAGGGGCATATAAAGGGGATGCTATTAAAATGTGCTCAGATTAGGAGGTTACTAAAATCAAACAATATCTCAAATCAAATTCAGTTCTTACTGGTGATAGGTGTCTGTTCAAACTGCACATTTACATAAATATCTAGCAAATCAATCCATACCATGAGAATTGGAAACTCTGTGTTGCATCAAAAATCATGCCCACTTTAGTTTATGTGCACTACACTGAAGTGAATTTTAGTCTCTCAAAGTTATAAAAAAAATCACACATACAATTTACTATTCTTGTATGTAAAAACTGTAGTAATATTCTTTCAAAATTCAAGTTTTAAATACCTAAACAAACTGGACACCCTCTTGTTTGAGTGATAAAACCTATAAGTAAAAAAAAAAAAGAAAAAAAAAATCATAATAAAAACTACAGCAGCCTGATTCCTAGTAGGGAAATAATAGAAAGGGTGAGAAATAAAATGTGCAGCTACATGTACAAAAACACTATAACTACAAATGTAAATTCTAATTTACATTTACTAACAAAAAAAAAGCTCTTTATACCTCATATTGCTGACACTGTTCCACTATTATATAGAATGACTAAATAACAACTTTGAATATAATATTCTTTCGTCACTTATGGTGCAAGTTCTATTATTTGCTGTAAGATTCCAATATGTTTTTGAAGTTTTCATGCATAACTATTGGTCTTTATCTTCATCTCGTAAGAAGTGTGTGAAAACCACATCTATGTGTATGGTGTGCCATTCAACATTCCCTCTTTCAATTGATTAAATTATCTATTTATTTCAAGAGAGAAACGTTACATTATGCATTTCTCTTAATCACATGAAACACTATAGATATAAGAGCATAGTGCTGAACATGAAAGTAAAACTTCATTCAGTAATAAAGCTTTATAATCAGACACAAATATTACCATGTCTCCTATGGACAAAATAAACCATGAATTTAGAATGCTAAATAAAGTTTTATCTATTTTTCAAATGCAAAAATTTCCAACAAGTCTACAAAAGCTTTTCATTTACAAGAAAAAGGAAATGATAAGTAAGAAAAGAGAGAGGAAGAGAACAATATCCCATTCTCTATCAAGCAGTACCATCACGGGCTCTCCACAATCATAAGTGTACAGCTTTATTCTGCGTCCTAAGTGACCTTCCAGTACGGCAAACAGGAACTCCACCATATCTATGTCTTGCTCAATCCTTGGCTGCATGAGGAGGAAATGAAACAAATACA